CACAGTGTATTAACTATTGCTATTCTTACCATTTTGTTGTAAATTTCATTTTATTTTTTTCATAAAATAAAACCGAGCAAGAGTTTGTCACATGGTTGTTTTCAGTTTCTTCCTGATTCTAAAAGAATTCACAACTGATACTTTTCCAAGGTTTCCTTTCAAAAGGAAGTAAACTTAAAGAAAATATTTTTATTTAAAAATGTAATTATTGATCTACATATATACAAATTAAAAATACCAAATTGAATTTAACAATTTTTCTCTTCCTTGTTCTCACCCTACCCCAGCCCCCCAAATAAATCTCACATTTCTCAGAAGTCTGCAAAAAATTTCAACCTTTGAAAAATGTTATTTTATAAAAATAATAGGATGGACTTTTCAGAATGATTTTTAAATGTAGCCAGAAAGAACAGACCCTCAGTACCTGCCACCTCAAGCTGGCAGAATTTAAACTGAGCCCACAGCATGGAGGAGTAATGCCACGCGGTAAAGTTGTCCCTCCAGATTTTCCTCTCCAAGGGCTTTTGTCAATATTTCCAACACAAACCCTTTGTTTTATCATAGTTAACTTACCAAACTGATTTCATCAATGAAAAGTTCTATATTAGGACCCTATATAGCTAGCTGGAATGGAATTATTTTTGATTGTGTGCTTCATCCTTGGAGTGAGGGACATTACTTAAAAAAAACATTTATTTATTCATTCAATAAATAATTATTGAGTAATCAATATTTTCCAGACACTGTTGAAGGCAATGGGGATAATAGTGAATAAAAATACTGCTGCCCTTGTGGAAATGACATTTTGATGAGGTGAGAGAGATATTAAGTAATAAACAAATAGTATATCAGGTGGTGATAACTGGTTTGCAGCAAAGTCAATAAGAATAAGGAGGCTAGGGAAGACTAGAGGTTGAGATGCTGTTTTATACATGATCAGGAATGGTCTCTCTAAAGAAGTAAGAAAATAAGGGCATATCTAGAAGACAAGTACTAATGCATAAGGAAGAACAAGTGTGAAAACTCTGAGATAGGAGTGTGTGGTTGCTATTTTAAAGAAATGCTAATTCTGTTCCAGTGTAAGGAAGATACAATAAACAAAGGAGAAAAGAATTGAACATGAGATGGGCAAGGTAACTAAGAAGAGAACAGATACAAATCTTCTCTCAATCCTATGAGTGAGCCAGGGAGCTGTGGTAGAGTTTCAAACAGAGGAGCAGTATGAGATAACTTATATTTTTAAAAGATCATTTTACTGTTTGAAGAAAAGGTAAAGGGGAGCATGTGGGCAGGTGGGCAGGTATAAAGGACAGAAGCAGCCAGACCACTTAGGAGGCTGTTGAAATAATTCAAGTGGAAAGAGTTGGAGACAAGTGAGCAGATGGTAACAGAGAAGGCAGTTAAAAAAAACTGCTCAAGTTCTATATATGTTTACACATATATATATGTATATACATATACATGTATATACATATGTATATACATATGTACATATATATACATATATATATACATATGTATATACATGTATATACATATATATGTTTTGAAGTATACACATATGAGGTATGAGAGAAAGAGGAATTAAGTATTCATTCATTTATCCAATAAATGTTCACTGAATGACCACGTTGTGCCAGGCACTGTTCTGTATGCTTCGGATCTAATAGCCAACACCACAAACAAAATCCCTACCTTCATGGAGCTCATTTTCTCATGGATAATAACAGCTCACATTTTTTAGTACCTCCTATGTTCTAGATACTTTGTTTTCTTAACTCAGTTAATTCTCACTAAAATTTAACTAGGTCCATAAATATCATATTATCCCCATTTCACCAGTGAACCAAATAAGGCACAGAAAGAGTAAGTAGTTCTTGAGGTCTCACAATCTATTATGTAGCAAAGTTGTGTTTCACACTCAAAAAAATCTGCTTGAGAGTCAAAATCAAACTGTTTCATTCCATCCCCTCTTTATCAGACCAATATACCCACAACAGGAAGACATTTCATGTTCTGTTTCACTTCTGTTCCCATATTTATTTATTTTTTTTACCACATTGATGTATGATTTCCACAGAATACTAGGGATATTTTAATGACCAAAGTTTCTAGATTTCCCTTGTGCTATCTCATGCTTTCAGCAAGCCTGATAAACTTCTGTTCTGAGCCATTCTAGTGGATAACTAAAGTTACCATGTACATGACACTAGCATACATTATTCTGTGTTAAATAATACAGGACATTCTTAGAAATTACCAGTCAAATCATTCTGTTTACAGACTATTGACTTGTGTTCAGAATCAAGCACTTTTCTATGGCAACTTTAGTCATTCCTCACTATCCAAGGGACACTTGTACCAGGACCTTCTGAAAGCACCCAAATCTGCAGATGCTCAAGCCCCTTATATAAAATGCCTTGTTATTTGCACAAAATCTACCACATCATTTTGTATATGTTAAATTCTGCTAGATAATTTATCACAACTCATACCATGTAAACAGTTGTTATACTGCTTAGGAAACCCAAAAAAATGTATATATACATGTTCATATTTTCAAATATTTTCTTCCACATAGTCTAAAAGAAGAAATTTTTAAAGCTCTATATCTTCCAGCTGTTTTATAAAACATACAAAGATCTCTCATTGCAAATTATTTCAGAGAACATCTTGCACTGTCTTCCCTCCCCCACTGAAGACGCCAAAACCCTCAGATTCCCAAGTCCTTTATATAAACGGTATAGTATCTTTATATTATCCCATATACATTAAATCATCCCCAAGTGAGTTATAATACCTACAACAATGTAACTGCTACACAATTGTTATACTGTATTGTCTACAGAATAATTAGACCAATTTGTAATGTTCAGTACAGAAAGTTTTTCAAAAAATTTTACTTTTATTACTTGTACTATTTAAATTGGTACTCCTTTGTCTATTTCTATACATAATTTCTGTATCTGCTTTCATTCACACGTGTGTCCCATCTCTTCCAGTTCACTTTCTAAACTCATTGAGGTTAGGAATGATGATTTGTTCATGTTTTTACTTCCCAGTAACTTCAGATATGGGATCTGCCCAAAAGTGAGTGTCTAATAAGAGGAGATGACTTGCTGCAATCAATAAAATACTTTAAGAATCTGATTGTGATTTTGTATGTTTTGATCTAAGGCAAGATTGATATCACAGTTTCAGGTAAAATAATAGCTGCCATTTCTTTCAGACTTAATTTGTGTTCTCTCCATGCTCTATCTCATTTAATTCTGCATTAGGCACTAATTACCTTCCCCACTTTTCAAATGGGAGAATGAGACTCAATGAGATGAAAAAACCTCTTCCAAATCACTCAGATAGTAAATGAAAGAGTCACAGGTATGCCCAACTCCACAGCCAGTTTTCTTAACCACAGAAAATTTGTTTCAAGGAGGAATGCAAGTTTTTAAAATTTCTATCTTCAGATTACTGTTAAGAGCTTTATTATATAGTTGAAGTACAGTAATATTTAAAGTGTACAACATGATAAAGTTTTTGTCTTGTTTGCAATATTGCAGATTGAACCCAGGATCTTTGCCCTGAGCTATATCCCTAGATCTCTTAATCTTTTATTTTGAGACAGGGCCTCTTTTATTCACTAAATTCCTAAATCTGGGCTTGAACTTATGATCCTCCTTTATCAGCCTCCCAGAATGCTGAGATTATAGGTATAGGCCACCATATCCAGCTAGCTTGTTACATTTTGATGTAGGCATACACATATGATACCATCATCATAATCAAGACAAGTGGAAAAATCCATCACTTCAAAAGTGTCTGTGCTTTGTTGTAAGCCCTTTCTCCCACTAGTCTGTTCCCCACTTTATTGCCCAGCACAAAATATTTTTTGATTATGAGATGCAGTAATTTACAAAAGTATGAAGCCTTATCCTTAATATACTGAATTCATTTGATTAATGTTACAGTTTATCAATCTGTGACTTGATATTCTCAATGCTGAACTTCAACTTCAGGTTGGCATCTAAGCTAAGTTCATTAGGAATAATGATGATAAATTCTGAGTTATCTACTTATCTAGGTAGTTGGCTTAGGTGATTGATTTCTTCTTTTTATGAATAAAACGTGAATTATTTATCAAATAAACTGAAACACCTATGATTTGACTCCTATGTGTTAGGAAACATTGGGTTGTTATTCAAAAGCTTTGAAAAATCTCTGTATTGCCTACTAGAGATTTCCAGTCTGAGACAGGGGTAGCAGTGCCAGTCTGAGCTAAATTCATTTTTTAAAGTGTGCCAGGCTATTCTTGTGATGAATGCACCTAGAAGTCATAGATTGCCACCAGGTTCTTTTAAAATGATTCATAGGTGCCCTAAAGGGCTTTTTTTGGTCAAATTGATTTACCTATCAGCTTTGCTCATTTACTTGTGCATTCTCCAGCCACACAGTAACCGAACATTTTCACTTTAAATGGGGAAGAAAACTGAGAGTGAAAAAGGATTGTGTGAACATCCTGACCCTGACAGACCACTGCCTTTGGCCACTGTCATCCATCTGTCTACTTCACAGCCTTGCTTATGAAATGGGATGATGAGAAAAGAAAATTAACCACATTTAAATGGTGAGAGAATTCAAAGCAGTATAACATCATAACTATATGGTTCAGTTGTTATGCCATAAGGGACACTATGCATGCAGGTGGACAGGTAGACGAAGAAGCCTTCCTAAAGGGGAAGTTATATATAGTCCCAGAGGAAAGGGGATAAGCATTCCAAATGCAGCTAACATTAGCATAATCACTGGGTTAGAGGCAGGAAAAAGTGTAACAAATGCAACAGATTTAGAAAGGAATAGGACAATTCCCTTCATTGAATGTTTCTAGGAGCCCTGAATTGCTGACTTAAAAGACACAGAGATACACGCAAAAGGGAGAGTGGGGAGAGACAAAGAACTAATGAGGTCCACAGAGTAGATATTAATTAATTCTTCTGTTTACTCACCATATTCAATGGCAGTCAGATGTCTGAGTCCTTTAGTTTAAGACATGCCCTTAGAAGGGCTTCTACTGGCAGCAGCAGTTAGCATAAAAGAAAAGAGTAAGCAAGGGGAAGAGTAAGCAAACATTTCCACTAGATTATCTCTGAAAAAAGATAGAAGCATTCCAAGACAGCAAATATGCAAGACAATCTAATCTCTGCAGTAGGTCATTTAGTAACCAAGCACTTTTAATCCCCACCTCCTCCACTGAAGAAAGGACACAGCTCATACATAAAGCAATGAATCATTTCACATATTAGAGGAGAATAATCTTCAATTATTTTCCTTTGATTGGGAAGAGATGGAATCTCAAATTTCCAAATGTAGGTAAGTGGGAATAACCTGATGAATCTGGGTACATACAGTCCCAAAATTCTGAAAAGCATTCTTTTTCAGTGGAAGAGGGCACTCCATCCCCAGTGGGCTGGCATTAACCTTGCATTTCTCAACGAAACTCTAATGGCCTCCCTGAGGCAGTTACCTTAGAGGACAGACTCTCTCACCACTCTTCTGTAGCTCTAGACCAATAACTAAACTAAGCCCCAGTAGACCTCTAAAGATAAAATACAATTTATGAACCATGAGGAGTTACATTACTTGAAAATAACTACTTGAATTTCCTTTTCTTTTTTCTTTTTCTTTTTTTTTTTTTTCTTGGTACCAGGGATAGATCTCAGGCAGGCCACGGAACTATTGAGCCAAATCCCCTGCCCCTTGAATTTTCTAATGTATACAGAAAGAAATCCAAAGACTGCAGGATTGAATACTAAAGATATAGGATAATGATGAAAGGAACAAAAAGTTGGATCGGACAAAATGTATTGATATGGGCTAAGCAGAGAGTCTGTATACAGCATTGCAGATTCTAAAGCAAGAAGAGACATTAACAGTTTTTATCATTGGTTTGCTGAAACAAGAGTCAAAAGGTCCCCCCCATGAGCAAATTTAAAGCGCCAAACTTACTTCAATTTGATGTAGAGGAATAGATTTTAAAATGTAGAGAGAATAAAATTTTTCTATGAATTTAACATTTAAAACCCATCTTTGAAAGAACTAGACAACATCTTTCACCATGACTGAAAAGTAAATTTGTGAGGGAATCCTCAGCATCCTTGAAGAATTCTGTGATTACCTTTCTCTATAGGACAGACTTTATAGTAAGAACTTCAGTAACTGAATTGGGAATTCTAAATACAATGACAGTAATAGGATCCCAGAATGTCAGGGGCCAAATGTACTTCTCACACATGAAAGGCAATGCAGGTATGGGTACATAAAGACAGGAGAGTCAAAGCAGCAATTGGCATAGCCTGATTTATGCAGATCTATAGTATTAACCAGTTGATCATGGAGATCTTAAAAGTAAAACAGAAAAGAAGCCTAATAAATTATAACTTGATCTGTATAAGCAGTACAGTTCTAGGTCAAGTGAAAAGGTCTAACTTGGATCACAAAATAGCCTATCAATCCCCTGTGCTCAGCCAGTTTATAAACTAAGAACTCTTTGAATGAAGAGAAGGCCAAGTCCCCTTTAGAAAGGACCCCAGTCCATTATCATAATTTATAATGTTAATCTTTCTCCTAGCTTTCCCCAAAGTGATCTATATGACCTTTTGCCAAGATAACTGTACACTGGGGAAAAGGAATTAATCAGACACTTCAGGAAGTACAGAGAACACTATCTCAGAACTGACAATAATCTCAAAATGTCAATGTGGTCCACTAGTCAGAGTAGGGGCATATGAAGGTCAGATTATCATGGGGTTTTGGCTCAAGTCTGTTGTACAGTAGATTTCTGAGCCTATTTCCCCTGATCATGAATGCATAATTGGAATAGGTATACTCAGCATCTAGAAGAATTACCACTTTTCTTCCTTGACTTGTATGTAAGGGCTCTTATTACGGAGAAGGCCAAGTAGATGTCACTAGAACTGCCCATTCCTTGGAAAATAGTAAACTAAAAGCAATACCTTATTCCTCTAGGAACTGTACAGATTAATCCCACCATCAAGGACTTGAGAGATGCAGGAGTGATGACTGCCACCACATCTCACTTAACTTGTCCATTTGGCTTGTGCAGAAGACAAATAGATCTCAAAGAATAATGATGGATTATTGTAAACCCAACCAGGTGGTAACTCTGATGACAGCTGCTGCACCAGATGTGCTTTCACTGCTTAAGCAAATTAACATACCCCTGGTGCCTGATTTACAAATTTTTTAAATGTACTGTTCTCTCTGTCAATAAGGACCACCAGAAGCAATTTCCTTTCAGCTGGCAAAGCTAGAAGTACAGATTTATGGTCCGTCTCAAAGGCATCTCAATGGTAAAACCTTTATATCAACATTTATTCTCAGGGATATTTATCAATTTTTCCTTCTACAAGAAGCCACACAGATCCAGGACACTGATGGCATTATGTTGATTATACCTAGTGGAATAAAGGTAGCTACTATCTAGATTTATTTGTAAGACACGTGTGCATCAGAGTGTGGGGGAAATAAATCCAACAGAAGTTTAGAGGGCTTCTACTCAGTGAAATTTCTTCAGACCAGTAGGGCATAGCATGTCAAAATATCCCTTCTAAAATGAAGGATTTGTTGCATCTGACCTTTCCTACAATCAGAAAGAGAGACATAACACTTGGTGGGGATTTTATTCCTCATTTGGGTGTATTGCTCCATCTTATTACTAAGTGACCCACAGTTGTTGGTTTTGAGTGGAGACTGGAACAAGAGAAAGCTTTGCAATAGATCCAGGCTACCATTCAACCTGCTCTGCCACATGGACCATACGTACAGTTCAGCAGATCCAGTGGTGTTTCAAGTATCAGTGATAGAGAGACTATTTCAAACCTTCAGCAGGACCCTATAGGACCTTATATCTGAAACATATCCCAGCTATCCTCTGTGGATAAGTGTTTCCCTTTTGAGAAACAGCTCTTGGCCTGATATTTGGGCTTAGTACAAATGACATGCTTGAACATAGGCCACCAAGTTACCATGCAACCTGACTTGCATATTATAAACTATATGTTCATTATTAATTTACTCAGCAAGCCATGAAGTTGAGTGTCATTCCATCAACAACTAAAAGCAGTCTGCACAAGAACAGGCCTGAGAAGGCACTGATGGCTCAAGTACATTACATAAAAGTGGTCCAAATGCCCATGTTCTCTGCTATATTGGCTTCTGTCTTCCAGCCTGATCATGGCATTGTGCAGAGTTTCCTATTTATGTAGAGGAAAAGAAGACCCAGGTCTGTTATACAGATATTTCTGCATGATAACATTTAAGTACTAGTAATATTATATAAAAAGATTATAAGTTTGAGATATCAAGGCAAAGAGTAAACATTACTCAAGCACTGTATTTCTTCTAGAGAATGGACTAGTGTGTTTTCCATCATGCACTAAACAATTGTCATTATATTCTGAATTGTGAAATTGTTATTGTCATTATTCTGAGATTATGATTTAAGGAGATGTGTCTAAGTGTCAGTTTGACAAAGTGTAGACTTGTGATGTTTAATTTATATGCTAAATTAGTTGAGCCTTGGAATACCCAAGTAGTTAATTATTCTGAGAATGACTGTAAGAGTGTCTCTGGATAACATATAATTAGTAGACTGAATAAAGAAAATTGCCCCTCCTAATGTGAATAGCCTTCAATTCAATCAGTAGAAGGCCTGGATAAAACAAGGCTGGCCCCCCCATGAGTAAATGAGGACTCCTCTTCCCTCATAACTTGAGCTGGGGCTTTAGTTTTTCTTGTCTTCAGACTTGACCTAGAACTTTAATTTGGTAGGAAGTGGGGCGGGGAGTCCTGAAATCTGCTGGCTTTTAGACTGGAACTTACGTCGTTAGTTTTTCTAATTTTTAGGCCTTCAGAATCAGACTGGAATTATATTATCATCTTTCTTGGGTCTCTACTCACCAACTACAGATCATGGGATTTCTCAATACCCATAATTGTTTAAGCCAATTTCTTATAATAAATCTATCTATCTATCTATGTATCATCTATCTACCTATCTACATACATACCTATGTACCTACCTACATACATACCCATTGGCTCTGTTTCTCTAAAGAACCTGATGAGTTCATAAATTTATTCATTTATATAAATTATTTCTGGCATACAGATTGCAAAGAGTAAATATATAATATTTGTATTATATTCTCATATATTGAATAATACTGAGTATTTTAAATTATTTTTGCTGAAACTTGTATCACTATGAAGGCAATGTTTGCAGCTGATGAAGAGGTTTAGTTCTGACACAAACACTGGTTAAAATTCTAATTTAAGTTCACGAATGAACCTAAGGTCAAGCAACAAAGATGTATTTTGCAATTTCATTAATTTGTAAATGACATAAATGAATTATTTGCTTATTCTGGATTATTCTTCAAATATTAAAAGAATGTTTCATCAATTTTTTTCTTTTCTTCTGTTTTATGTTTTATTGGTACATGTTTGCATTACACAGTGATTATATTCCTTATTTGGACTTGTCACAAGTGCATAACAGATGTCAATTATTTGTTTTCCTCCCTTCCCTCTCCTTCTGTCTTTTGATCCTATTCCCTTTTGCAAAATATATATCTCGCTACTTCCTCTTATGTATCTTTTATTTTGCTTTTTATTTATATTTTGAGTTTCTCATATAAGAGAAATAGTGAGTGTGAGATAGTTAAGCTTATGTATTTGACTTATTTCACTAAACATTATAGTCTTGAGATGAATCCATTTTCCTAAAATGACTTGTTAATCCTTTGTTAGTACTTCATTGTGCCTAAATACCACATTTTCATTATATTTTCATCTGTTAATGGACATATAGGACACTGGCAAGAGTTAGTTATTGTGAATTATGCTGCCATAAATGGGGTATGCCTACATCACTGTAATATGATGTCTTTTAAGTCTTTCAGGAAGATATCTAGAAGGGGAATAGCTAAGTCAAATGGATTTTCTATTTTTAGGATTTTGAGGACTATTCCCACTGATTCCATAGTGGTTGGACTAGAGTTTAAATTCTCACCAACAATGTAAAAGTGTTACATTTCCCCTACCTCC